ATGTGAAAAGCAAAACTGTAAAGCTTTTGAAGGCTTTAGAAGATAGTAAGAGGAGAATGTCATTATTACCTGAGTTGTGAAACATTGACAATATAAAAAGCACTAAAGGAAAAGATTCATAAATTGGACTACATTCAAATTAAGAACAAAAGATACCATGAAGAGGGTGAAAAGTTAGTTTCAGAGTGGGAGAAAGTGTTGGAAACATAGTATGAAGAGTAAATGAAGTCCTTTACTTTCAGGGTAGAGGTGAGGAGAGATTATGATTGGGAAGGAGCACACAGGGCCTCTGGGTGCTTTCAGATGTTCCTGTTCTTGAGCAGGTGGTGTGACTTTTCTTTAAACTGAGCAGGTGTTTACGCATTTATCTGTGTATAAGCACATTCCTTAACCAAAAAAATTGGAAGAAATGAAAACAACAAAGAAATACAGTTTGTGATTAGGTAATAAAGATCTTAAATAGCAAATGGGTTCTTGTGACTTTGGAGGAAATTTCCCAAGCCAGTTTTTTTATTCAAAACTACTATATCTAAAAAAAATCTGAGACAGAATTAAAGATGTGCTCTGGAAACCTGTGCTAAATGACTCAAGATCTAGTGGATTTAGTGCTGATTATGTTAATTATGCATGTGTAAGCAGTTGTTTCTTGAAAAGGTAAGAGCAGTAAAAAAAATTTCTTGATGAGAGTATTTTATATACTCTTAAATATAGCTAAATGAATAAATTTAATATTATAAGTAGATCTCTTAGTTTCATTTCCATCCCTAACATTTAGAAATTCTAGTTGGCCAGAAATATATCATTTATTAAACCTTTTCACTGGGAGAATGGAGGATGCATTTTATTTGGTCGTGTTATTTTTGGTACAGTAAGCTCTGCTATAACGTGATATATGGATTTCTAAAAATCACCACACTGTGCAAAATCGTGTTCTAAAAACCACAGGGCTTATGGGAAAATGTGGGCACGACACTCAAAAACTCCGTCAGTGACACTTAAACGAATAAGAACCTAATAAAAATGACAGCCTAGCTTTGTACATGTTAAATGGGAAAGAAATACATAAATCAGTATACCTGGCCCTTGACCTTGAGAGAGACCTGAAGTTGTCTTGTGGTATTGGGCATCAGAAGGGTTACAGTATGTGAGTTTTTGTGAAGTGGTGGAAAGAGTGTTGGCAGAAATCAGAGGGAAAGTTGTAACACCAGATGTAGATGGGTATGGCTCGTAACACATGCAGTAAACTGAGGTAGCTGGTAGGTGTTTGAGGTGTCTGCAGCGTGTTTTATGTGTTCCTTCGTGTCTTCTTTCAGCTGCACGCAGTTTTCTTTGTTCATTTAGTGTCTCTTGCAGATGAAATTGCACATAATCAAACACAAAATTCTTTTTTTTTTCCTTGTGCTTTAAGTAAAAGTTTACAATTCAAGTTAGTTTCTCATACAAAAATTTATACACACATTGTTATGTGACCCTAGTTGTTCTCCCTATAATGTGACAGCACACTTTTCCTTTCTACCCCGATTTCCCATGTCCATTCAACCAGCTCTCACCCTCTCTGCCTTCTTCTCTTGCCTCCAGACAGGAGCTGCCCAGTTAATCTCATGTATCTACTTGAGCTAAGAAGCACACTCTTCACGAGTATCATTTTATGTCCCATAGTCTGGTCTAATCTTTGTCTGAAGAGTTGGCCTCGGGAATGGTTTTAGTTTTGGGGTAACAGAGAGTCGGCGGGCCATGTCTTCCAGGGTCCCTCCAGTCTCAGTCAAACTATTAAGTCTGATGTTTCTACTAGAATTTGAGTTCTGCACTCCCACTTTTCTCCTGCTCTGTCAGGGACTCTCTGTTGTCAAACACAAAATTCTTGTGTTCAAATTGTTCTTTAACGTATCAATCACGTTGGAACAAATATGCGTTTTTAGACAAGTGTTACAGCAGAACTTACTGTACTTAATTTTTTATAGCAGTCACAGCCCCCATCTTTTCATTTTTACATGTTTTAATGTAGGGATTCTGAATTAGGCTCTTTTTACTGAAATTTTGAAATAAGACTGCCTAATGTTTGACTTATTTATAGGTCGTGCAAATAGTTGACATGCTCAGCTGCTAACAAAGTTTGGAGGTTTGAGTCCACCAGAGGTGCTTTGGAAGAAAGGCTTGGCAGTCTACTTCCAGAAAAGTAGCCACTGAAAACCCTGTGGAGCACAGGTCTACTCTGACACACACACAGTTACCATGAATTGGAATTGACTCAATGGCAACCGGTTTTAGTATTTGACTAGGAGTCCCTGGGTGGTGGAAATGGTTAATGCACTTGGCTGCTAACTGATAGGTTGGAGGTTCTAGTCTACCCAGAAGCACCTCAGAAGAAAGGCCTGGCTACTTCTGAAAAAAAAAAAATCAGCAATTGAAAACCTTATGGAGCACAGTTCTACTCTGACACACATGGGGTCTCTATGAATTGGAATCAACTCGATGGCAACTGGTTTGCTGGAAATATTTGTCTGCTGCAAAACACCTTAAGTATCTTGGTGAATTTTAAGTTTTTCCAGGTTAATGGATAAGTGATTTGAGTGCGGTATCAGATTTTTGCTTGAGACGGTAGTTGATCACTGTGATACACTGAAAAGCATCAATTCTTCTGTTTTAAGTTCGGTGACCTCCATGTTTTTGGTGTTGCTACCAGGGTACCTTTAAGCGTTAACCTGGTTGAGTTCTAAAGAAAGCATGTGGGTGGTTATGTTTTGGGGATCTTTCCCATTCACTCGTTGCTTTTATCTAGAGTGACTCTTTTATTCTAGAGTTTAGCTGCAACAGGTGTCCAGATTCTTTTCACCTCTCTCTCCCTCTCTCTGGGCTATTGGGCTGATAACAGTGAGGTTAATGAAATACTTCTCCTTGTTTTCTGTCGTCCACCAGTTTCTTTGGTTCACTTTCAAGACCCTCATGTCCACGCCCTGAGCCAGAGGTCGGCCTTCCCTCACAGCATTACCGTCTCCCTCCTGTGTAGGCATTCCTTTATGTTTCTGCAGTACTCTGCATATATCCCTGTTACAGCATACATCACATTGTTTTGACATTTTGCAAAATTGGGCACTTTTTCTCAGTGAACTGTGTATGTCTTGAGGACACGGACCATATCTGTAACATTTTTACATTTCTTCTACATAGCACAGTTTTTCGCAGTGGTGGTCGGGTGAGTGGATGAATGAATGAATGAAGTGGGCTTAAAGAGAGCTGTCCATATGATTCTGTCGTATACATCAACCCCTCGTTTTAACTAAGTCACACAATCTCTAGGTATCTTGGTTACTTGAACTTGATTAATATGACTCATTATGCTTATGCATTCAAGCTGTTTAGCAATGCAATAATAAAATTTCCTCATGTGAGCTAAAGTTTGCACACCATCTGGGTTTTTTGTTTGGCTACAGATAGGTTAAAAAACAAACATAGTTAAAGAACATAGCTAACTTGCAATCGGGATTGAGGGGTTTTTTGATACAATAGAGTAGTAAAATTCTGTAATTTTTCAGTTTCCTATTATGAATTAAAAACTTATTTTTGACATTTTCAAATACTTATGTATTGATAAAGTGGAACCCACTCAAAAAGAGGGGAAATGTAATTGCTGTAATAGATAACAGGGGGAAGTGTTGTAGCTCAATTTTTTATTATTATTGCAACTCTTAAATATCTCTTTAAGACTTTTTTAAAAATCTTTTTTTTTTATAGGACCTCTTTGTCATTAGACATGAATTGGCCATAATGAGACTAGCTGCCTTTATGGGTATTATTATGTTAGTTGGAATAACTGGACTCTTTTATACTCAACTAATTGGCATCATCACAGTAAGTATGTCTTTCGGTGTAAAGTAATGTATTTATGAACATGTTTCCTAATTATAAACTTATTTCTAAAGAGTTACAGGAAGTTTAGAAATAAAAGGAGAAAATTACCCCATAATCATTTGTGTATTCCCATTTCCATATGCGTGTGTAATTTTAAAGCAGTTATAATCCGTGTATAGAGTGTGCATACACTTTTGTATCCTGCTCTTGAAAATTAACTGAATGTATTTTTTATATGGCTGCATAATTCACGTTTATAGCTTGTAATAGTTGCGTATACTCTGTGTAGTGAAGATATCATGTTTTAATTAACCGTATTCTAGCTGACTGGCAGCTAGTGTGCAATCTTTTTTTTTCTATATTACAGATAACGCAGTTTTCAACTTCTTTTTCTGCTCTTTAAACTATTCATTTAGGGTCAAGTCCCAAAAGTGGAATTGCTGGTAGAAACATTTTATAGTAATTAAGTCTTATGTTTTTGCTTGTATTTATTGATGTGAAAACTAACTTAAGTGATTGCTATTATTTATCCAAATGTCAGAAAGACTGACTAACAGCTCCTCATTTTATAGTATTTGATATGGAAAAGACATGAAATAATATCAAATCAATTTTGGGTTTTTTTTTTAACATGAAAAGTGTGCTTATAAATAATATTTACCTGTTTATTTTCCTTTTTCATTATTACTCATATAGGACTGTCTGAGTAACTTTCCCCAACCACCTAATTGGGGCAGGTACATCCAACACGTGGAAGCATGATATTAGGTACTAGTGCTCTCATAAGTGCGTCCATTTCATGAAGTGGATAGTCAGTTTGAGGCTTCAGGCACAGAAGTTACCAGAGATAAGGTTGAAATAGACATTGTAGTACCAGTCTTTCTTCCTAATTAGCCAAGTGAGGTTCCTTTATCACAACCAAAAAGATCAAAAAATGAGAAAAATTGTAATTGAATAAGGATTAAAAAGTTCGATAATACACTGCATTGCAGAAGATGTATGGCAAACAGCCTTTCTCATACATTATTGGTGGGGATATAAATTGATACAGTCTTTTTGCAGGGAAATTTTTCAATGTCTTTCAAAATTTTAAATTCACAACCATTTTGACCACCTCTACAAATTTTTCCAGGCTGTTTATTATCATGTGTGTAAACATGTATGTTAAAAAAGTGTCCATTTGACAGCAACTAACAACAGCAGTAAATTACTATACTGTGTATGACAGATGTATTGTTTATGAAAATTTAAATGTTTACTGTAATATATTCAGTGAAAAAAAATGTATGTAAGAAAAAAAATGCATCAAAACTTACTATACACATCCAGTAGGATGACTGTTACCAGGAAAACACAAAATAAGTTTAGGTGAGGTTATGGAGAAATTGGAATGTAAAATGGTTCAGCCTCTATGGAACACAGTTTGGTGGTTCCTCAAACACTAAACATAAAATTACCATATTACCCAGCAGTTCCACTCCTAGGTGTATATACCCAAAAGACTTGAAAGCAGGGACTCAGATAGATACTTGTACACCAAGGTCATTGCAGCATTATTCACAACAGCCAAAAGATGGAAACAAGCCAGATGTGCATCAACAGATGAATGGATAAACAAAATGTGGCATACACGTGCAATGGAATATTATTCATTCAGAAGGAGAAATGAAGCTCTGATACATGCTGCTATATGGATGAACCTTGAAATTATTATACTGAGTGAAATAAATCAGAAACAAAAGGACAGATATTCTATGATCCCACTTACATGAAATAATCTGTTATTGTTAGATGTCCTTGACTCATTATAAATTTATAGTGACCCCATGTGGCAGAGTCAGTCTACCCCGTAGGGTTTTCTAGGCTGTAATCTTTACAGAAGCAGATCGCCAGGTCTTTCTCCTGCAGAGCCACTAGGTGGGTTTGAACTGCCAAACTTTCAGGTAGCAGCTGAGTGCTTAATTGTTATGCCACCAGTGCTCCTTTCTTTCTCTCATTTTATGCTTTTTCCTTGATGGTTAGCTGCTCTCTCAAGCAAAGCAGCTGGTAGGACTTCTTGATTAGCTCTATTTTTCTGGTGTATAAGAAGAAAAATCCAATCTTCCTCTTGATAGTAGAAGATAATCATAGTAATGATAATCTGATGTCATTTTAGACCTAGCAAGAGCAGATTATCTGTGACCCAGGTAAATAATTAGAAATTACTTGGACTCAAAAATAATGGATCTCTAATCTTATTCCAAGGTTAGAAAAATCTCAACACAACCAGATGTTTCTGTTGAACAGGCTAATCTGAAACCCAATTTTAAAGGATTATTTTAGATTATTTTTAGATTTAATATCAAAGATTTAAATAAATATGTTTTTTCATTTTTACTGAAATTAGTATCGAAGTTAAAATGTTATTTTCAAAGCAGCCTTCTTTGAGATAGTCCCTTTTATTCAGGGGAACAGGTTATTCTGATTATTGCTTAGATGGTTCAGCCATTTTGTTGTTGTTGTTTCTGAGTGAAATGGATAGTGATGTGGTTATTAATGTAATTGGTTTTGTCAGAATTTCTCATTGAGCAGTAGTTCACATACAGCCAAAAATAATGTGCATTCTGATGAGCAGCCAAACTAATGGTGCTGGGTGATTGTGTTAGTCATGTTTTCAGTCACTGGGCTGGGAGAGAGTTCATCAGGAAGCTCTGTAACAGCTGGTGCAGTGCGTGCTGGTGAGGCTCTGACAGTGAGCTATTGTATTCCATGACACTGCTCTGACAGTTTATCTAAGTTTTGTATACAAGCATTTTTGTTTGCTGGGCACCGTGGAGTTTATGTAATAGCTGAAGCTTTTGATGATGTCTCTGGAGCACAGTGCTTTTCTCAGTTGTGGTGGGGTTGGGGGTAGGGTGGGGAACATGTATTTAGCTGTAGTTTTTAAAGAAGGCTTTTAAATTCTCAGAGTAAAATTTGACGGCTGCTTTTTGCATTTGGTCTCACAGGTTCTATTGTTGGACACTATTTGAGTTAGTAAAGATAATTTAACACAAAAGCTATTCAAGTTAAAAGGGGAAAGTACATAAATACTCATGTTTAGCTTGCAATGTTAATGTTTATTTACCTGAACAAATACAGAAAGAATCACAAATGCATGAGCGACTTAATTTTGACTCGGTTATCTTATGTGATAAACAGTATCTTGTGTTCAAAATGTTAAATCAGTTTAAATGAGATTATCCATTAAGTAGCAATTTCATTAGACGATTAGTGGATTTACCTGCCTTTTAATATATACCCAGAAATATAAAGTCTAGAGATTATTAATCCTTATAATTAAATTTTGCCAAGTATCCAACTGAATCAATGTGGTAAATTAGCAGCATTCAGTATAATCTCTTTACAAATTATATTTGGTCTACTCTACTTCAGATCAGCATTGCAAATATGGAATTTATTGCTAATTACGCCAAACCCATTTTACCTATATATCATTAAAGGGAGCTCTGTGCAGCATTTTATTTTCCTTTCTGGGTTTAATTTTATTTAATAAAAAGGAAATAAACACATTTCTAATACAGTATTTCCAATTTTAATATATGAAATATCTTCTAAGTAGCTTTTTAAAACCTAGAAAAAACATTGAAATTTACAGTCAGTTATTTTCATATACTTTTTATGTCATACACTATTATTTGACTGTAATAGTTGTTTAAATTTTGGACACAGTAAAGAACTCTATAGAAACTAGGTTTTTTTTTCTTCCAAGGAGTTAGTTTAAATGCAGGCTAAGTTATATTGCATTACATTCTTTTTAAAAGTATTTTGCCTATCACTTTATATTTCATTGTAAAAACCATTTTTTTGTTTAAACATAATTTTGAAAGTTGCATTCTGATATAATTGAGATATCTCTAAGTCCTCTTAGAAAGTGTTTAGTAGGTAATATCTGTATTTTACTGAGGCGTTTTTATGGACTTTAACATATATTCACTCAGTAATCCAGACAATAACCTGTGATTAAATATTATTTAGAAATTGATGTATAGAGATTTAGTGTCTTGCCTAAGGTAATACAGCCAGAAAGCAGCTTGACAAAGAGAAGTATGGGAATCATTTTGGGCAGAGACGTGTAGTGGCTACAAATGTTAGATCTACTGCCTTTTCTCTTTAGTTCCATGATTGGTTAAATTTTCAAAATATTCAAAATGTTAAATCAGTCGCTAAGGAGACAACTGGTCCTCTGCTGGCCTGTGCTCTGCTGGAGATGAGTGCTTAAAGAGCCATTCATGTTAAACTGCAGTATCGAGTTCTGGCTTCAAAGGAGAGAGAAAGCTAAAGTTAAGAGGAAATTTCTTTCAGATGGCAAAAAAAAGTTTTTAAAAATAAGAAATCGTGCTGTTTCTGTCCATGTTCAATTAGTTTAGTACTGCAAACATATATCGAGTACCCGTACAAAGGTGCTATGGAAGATGCAGAGTTCGATGAGATGCTCTCCATTTCCTTTAGAAGTTCACACTAACATGCCAAGCAGAAGTGCTAGGAAGCCAAACCAAAGTTTTTCTTAGAATTAGTAGAAATTAGTAATAGATAAAACAAGTATGTAATTTGCAGTAGTGAAACACTTTGCTAAATACTATATTTTTTGCAAATAATGCTCTCACATAAATAATGTGACTACATATAACGCACATAGCGCATCTAGGAAAACAATATGCGAGGGGGTTGCGGGTTGGCAAAAAAATGTGTAAAGTGTGTGTTATTTGCATAAAAATATTGTAGGGTTTTTAACTCCAGATTAAATCAACAAAGAGTCATTGAATTGGATAGATATATACAGGAGAGTTAGAGTCATTAACAAGATCTATACTAAGAATAAAGAGCACAGGTGATCATTGAGGTTAAATTGAACTGTCTTCAAGGAGTCTAGCTGATAGAATATTCTTATTTTCATGAGGCCGCCAGGTCTTCAGTTTGACAGGTCTAGAAACTCTATTTTGAAAGTGTTCCCAGGGTTAATCAGGCCCAGAGGCAATGATTGTTATTTCCAGACTCAAAAGAGGTAGTTACATAAACCAGATTGACTGTTTTTTCCTTGATGTGGGGTTGTCAGGTGTGCCAGAGGAATTCTTCAGCACATTCTCCCTTACGGCAACGTATGTGGCAAAGTGTTGCTTGGTGAGAATGAACTCAAAGCAGATGAGTTAGTTTGATAGATTGTCATCAAGCTATCTATGCCAAGAGACTGGGTTCTTAGGTCTGCTAACTAGGAAACCTCTGGAGATAAATTCTTGTTCTTTGCCCTACCCCATCTCCATTTTTCTAACATCCGGCTAATACATAGCTCCCTCTCTCTGTCTGCCAGGAACTTTCTTTTTTCCCCATTCCAGGTATAATCTAATTAAGATCCAGTTTCTTTTATGGTCAGACATATTTGGTTAGACTAAACCTAAGAGGGCATATCTTAGGGTAAAATCAGCCATCAGGAGAAGATAAAGTATTGGTTGGTAAAATCAGTAAGGCATATATTTCTGTAAGTCTTGCTCTTTATAGCTTATTTTTTTTTTAAATAAACTTCCAGTTTTTAAAATAGAAAAACATTCTCATACATCTCTTTAGTTATACAGACTGATGGAAGCCTTAGCTATATTAATCAGTAGATCGTAAGCAAGGCCTAAGTATTTCCTGGAAATACGATATCCTGATTGTATTAGTTGGTTACAATGGACTGACCTTGCAGTTAACTGTCCTCACTCTGAAATAGTTCTCAATTTTTAAATGTTATTCACAACTGTGATTTTAGGCTATGCATGCACCTTTCTTGATAGCACTTCTTGACTTCTACCCCATCTTTTCCTCTGTACCTTTGCACACACTGTCTTAATTACTTGGAACAACCTGAACCGTACTAGACTAAGAAACTATTACAATTACTTCATTCACTTCCTTTATAGATACAGAAACTGTGACCCAGTGTTCCTCTAAGCCCCTAATCAATGGTTTTATGTATTTACAGACTATGTTTTCATAATGTAAAATAGTGTTTGGGGGATGTTATGCAACATAGCAGAGAAAGGTTAATTATAAATAGAATTGTCATTACCAAAAAAAACAAACCTGTTGTCGTCGAGTCAATTCCGACTCATAGCGACCCTATAAGACAGAGTAGAACTGCCCCATAGGGTTTCCAAGAAGCACCTAGGTGGATTCGAACTGCTGGCCATTTGGTTAGCAGCCAAACTCCTAACCACTGTGCCACCAAGGTTTCTGAATTGTCGATGGATACCATGGATTTCAAAGCACAGTAGGAAAACTGATGAATACAGAATGTGTAGCTAATCTGTTAACCCTTCACAAATCCCTGGAAAATCTGGTAAAGAAACTCAGTTATTGTTCACCAGTCATCTAAAAAATAAATTAGTTTTCCTTTTGTCTGAGCTAACTGTAGTTGTTCAACTGATCATACAGCAGAATTTAAGTATGTTATAAACTAGATGTCCATGTAATTTCTGTATAGAGATTTTTAACGTAAAGGTGCTTTTTATTAGTATCACTGGAAAAAAGTTCTACAGCCACAGAAGTTGGATTTGAGTTGTAGCCACAAGTATTTGCATGAATAGTACTGTCAAATAAGAGTACGGCCCACTTTCTACCCAAGTGTAAGAAAGGTATTAAGGTAAAGTAAAGGGATGAGGTGGAAAACCTCTCTTCACTTTTTTGTATATTTAAAAAACATATTTTCTTTTGTATCACTTTAAAGTACTTTAACGTAAATATATATATCTAAAAACATGCTTGTATAATTTATGTTTTGATTACTTAGATATCACAATTTATCAATCTAACAATAGATCATCTATTAACGTGTGTTAAACTAGCATGTCTAGAAGTTATCTTCTGTTGGTTGAATTGTTTTTCCTATATATTTCTGTTAGAGCCTTACAGATACTACATAATAAGAAATTATATTATAAAAAGTGATTTTTCTGTTAAAAAAAGAAATAGTTTTTATCAGATAACACTAGTCAGTTATTTTTAATTTTCAGATTAATAGATGTCGCACTATGGTGAACTCATGGCTCTCCTTGCTGAGTTTGTTGTTGTTGTTTACAGAAATCCAGACTAATAGCATTCTTTTACTCTTGGCAGTTTTCTGTCCAGTAATGTCTTCCAAATGTCATTTTGGCATTTATTTTTTAATGCATAGTCACTGATAGCAGAATTGAAAATAGATACTAGACTTTTAAAGAATTATCAAGAAAGCAAGTTTAATAAAAGTTTACGTTTTAATGGAGTGGGACTCCCACAATTTTTATGAGGTTTTGTATTTCAATAAAATTTATTTAGCATAATGTAATATTGATTCTGTGTTGATTCTGTTTTTCCAAGGGAATTCCAGCAATGTATGTAGATAATTTAAATTCTTAGTACCCACATATAATGTGCTTAAATCTTCAGAATATTCTCTGGGTAGGATTAAAAACATCACAAAATAGATATAAAACAGAGACTTGAGAACTTCCTTTATCTGAATATGTATTTTTTTTTTTTAATAGGATACAACATCTATTGAAAAGATGTCAAACTGTTGTGAAGAAATGTAAGTATAAAAGTGAAATCTATAGTATTCTTATTTCAAGACTGGAACAACTGGCCACATTTGAGAAATGTGTACATATAGAGGAAAAGTAATATTAATGATAGCTTTTTCTTGGTACTTTGTCTGAGGCCTGAGCTAGACAAGCATATCCCAGACTTACAGTAGGGGTCTTTTAGCCATGATAGTTTTCAAACAACATAATACCGATCATTCTTGTTCCTTGTCTAACTACAGTAACGTAAGTTATTTGTCCTGAAAGTACATCAAAAGAGATTTGCTACTGAGTTGTTGACACACATTCTGTTAATCCTAAGATTCTCATCTGCTTCAAAAGTTGCCTTAGGTTGATTGACGACACAGATACAATATCTGCTATCCCAAGTTAAAACTCAGCTGCGTGCCATAATGAAAAAAACGCTGTTTGTGATGCTGGGATACAATTCATCAGAGTCCAGTAATGGATCCGCAGCCAACCCGTATTGTTTTAGTTGACTGAAGAACACCATGGGAGTGCTGTCTTTCACTAATAATGCTGTCTTCTGTAGATCGAGGCCCAGAAAGCCATGGCAGCAGACCTTCTCAGAAGTTTTTGGCACTAGTTGGAAGATCCTGTGGTTCATTCCTTTCAGGCAGAGGCAACCACTGCGAGTTCCCTACCACTTTGCCAATCACGTCTAAACAGATGGATGGTGGGCACAGATGGGTCCTCCATGCTGGAAATGCGTTACAGGTTTTATGATAATAGAACGATGACAGTCTTCAAGTCAATTAAAATCCACCCACCAATCTTAGACATCACAATGTGCCCCAGGCTTTATTTTAATAGTGATCTTGATCCTGTTGTGGGACTAATGCGCGATCTATATTTAAGTTTTAGAGCATGTTTACTTTCAAATTAGCTTTCCACAGGGAAAATGCTTTTATTATTAAGCTCAAAAGGCAGTGATTGGGATGAAATAATTGTGTATAATTTGTTTTAGTACTGATAATGTTACAGATTTTAATTTATGGGGAAATTTCAGATGTTTACTTAAATTTTTCACTTTTAAGTAGTACTAACCAAATCTGAATTTAATTCTCCAGGTTTTACAAAAGTTGATACACCTTCTTATATTATGTATAAAATTGTCTCTTTGAATACAATTTAAAAGACTTAACAGTTCTTTTTATATGTGCTGCAAGATTTCTAAAAATGCTGCATAGGAGTGAACATCAGCAAAAAGGGCCGTGTTTTCTTAGAAGTAGATTTCTAATGTTTTCTCCTTTTCCTCTTTACCAAAACCAAAATAAAAACACCACTAAAATAAAACACCAACTACCTACCTTATTGTAAAGAAAAGATTAAAATATTTTTCAGCATTAACTTTCCCATTTCTTTCCCTTTTCTGTTCTTATTGATAGTTGTTAAAATATTTGCTCCAAGGAGAAATTTGTGACCAATGGACATGTATTCCTATTTGACCCTAAGATTTTGTTGGGCAAAAAGTATAGAGAATTTGCAATAATTCCACATATACCTTTTCTAGTGCAGTTATATTAGAATGCGTATGTTTTTAAAATGCTAGTATGACTAGATAATATATAATGTACAGTATAAAGAGGAATCTTATGCCTTTGAAAAAAATATATGTACTTTTTACTTTTATTTACCTACTAGTAGATCTAAAATTACATGTTGAAGGTTTATATAATAGATATTGGCCAACTAATATTGAAATTTTTTTATAGAAAATTGCTGTTAAAAGTAAACTTTTGTGTACCTATAATTACTGAAATTGAAATTAAATTTTAATTGGCCAATTATAATTTGGGTTGAGAGACCTTTTATTAGTAGCTAATGTTAGGAAATGACTTTAAAATAAGAAGATATAATGATCTGTATTTATCATTAGCCTTACAGAGTTTTAAATTGCTGATAGTGATGGCGTCTTGGAAAACATAGAACATTTGTGTGAAAACATATTTAGCATGCTTTGGAAAAAAAATTGAGCTTTTTATATTTTTTCCATTAGAATACTACAAAATCCATATATCTTTTATAAAATATATATATACTCACAGTATTTCACTTGATAAGAAGATTAAAGGAGATTACTGTTCTTGGAACATATTAATATTTTACTTGCAGTTAATTTTCATTGTAAGGAATCACACATGGGAAATCATGGAGCAGGAGGTTACCTTGGTCAGATAGTTAACTATACTGTGGTTAGTTCTTTCAGAAATTATAAATATCTTCTAAAATGTTCTGAAATAATATAATAAATAAGCCCTTCTCAGAAATATTAGCACCCATGTTTTTAATGTTTTGACTGTAATGCTTCATTACCAAAAACTTAGAAGTGGCAGATGAAAGTATTTATTGGTGCTGATAAGATGCTTAGTAAGTTTAATATAAGAAATATATTTATAAAGCTTAGTGAAACACAAAATTAGTATGCTTGTGTCAGGCAAATGGGTTGAGTTTTGTGCAGACTAACATATTGAGCAAATTTGGCCTGGTGACAGAATAGTTGGGAGGAAGTAATGTATAGGTAATACAGATAGATACTAGTTTAATCCCTTACGTTGTATACATTCTTTTCAAATGAAGACCTTGAGAAAAGAGCAGGGCCAAGTAAAGACTCCCTAAATTGCTGTATGGATATATTTATACTTCATGTAGTAATAGAAGCCACCTCGAAATGTACTGGGAGGTACTTGAGCTAACCTGTGCCTCAGTCATGAGAACAGGAGGTGGACCCGCTCCCACACTGAAGGTTTGTGTGTGTGTTTTTATCCCCCTTAGATCTACCACCTTTAGGGCATATTTTCTTCCCTCGTTTTTTTTCTTTACCCTTCCTGCCCTGACTCCTCCTGCCTGGTTCCTCTAAATTACTGGACTGATTTACCCATGGACCAAGCAGGCGATGTGTTTATTTTGTTTGAATGGCAGAAATGCTACATATCAATATATCTATATAAGAATATAAAGTATGTCTATATATACTTATAGTGTAACTTTCAGTATTCCCTAGTTAGCACACCTAACCTTATTGTGGGGGTTGTAATTCTTGTTAGACTGTAGGTAGTGCACGAACTCTGATGTTCTCTCAACGCCCCCTTTTGGCTAATTGATGTAATTATACTGGCTCGAAAGAGATTTACTGCCCCATAAGTGAACTGTATAGCCAAAATCTGAAAGTGTCAGAGGTACAACGTTAGCAGTGTTGTATGTACAAAAATGTAAAATTTTATGAAAATGGATGTGTTCCTATGTCTGATACGGATTTTTAGTTCATAAGCATGTGATGTGTATTTTGCTGCATTTATGCATATTCTTACTCTGTTTTTCACTAGCAGTCCCCAAATTAGATCAGGGTAAACTAATGTAAACCATTTCATAAATTTTATTGTAAACATTATTTTGGGAATTAAATCCTTAGAATTAGGAAAAAACCTTTATTTTAAAAGTACCGATTTATTACAAAACACAGAAATGTATTATAGTTACAGTGGCAAGCAGGTATCTACTATGTTTTATTGAGTATCTAAAAATATGTTTACTTTTTTTTATCTCAGTTTTGGAATTTTTTTTTTTTTTTACTGGCTCTATTGCCTTAAAATAACTAGTAAGACTAGTGATTCTTTCTGTGCTTTCTCTTTTCTTTCGGTCTTCTTTTTTTTAATTTTACCACAGTTATACCTGTAGCTTTATTAGCTAATTTATTATATATTCTGGATAACCATGAAAATAACTAAAGGTGCTAAGCGTCAGAAAATGATTATGAGCAGTGAGATTACTGATGTAATCTATATGTTGGACTAAAGTATTCTTTAACACTCCATTTCATTTTAAGCAAACGTATGTTAAAAGATGTTCTCTATCAGTGAAGCTGTTTATTGGGCTTCTGGAAGAGAAAAGTTTTTCTCTAGATATTGCAAGTTATACCTACTGGACCATTATATCTTCTCTTATTCTTTTCTGCAAACAAAAATGTCAGTGGGTTCAGTATGGGCTCACAAATAGTTGACAAAATTGAGTTCAGAATCCCCAGACAGTAGGCATTTAGTTAAAGCGCTCTTTGTACTTTGTAACCCAGGCTTAGTTTAAAAATACTAAGTGAGCTGATGTTCCATTATAAGAAAATTACTATTTTGCTTAAGAGTTGTATTAAAAATACTTTGGGGTAACTTAAGAGATACGTAAAATTGTAGTTACATATTAACCTTTTTTTAATAGAAGAAAGCATAGTTTACTTTTAAGTAAATGGAAGTAGAGAACATAAGCACACAACCTAGTTAAAATTTCTGTGAGAGTTGACATCAGTGCATTTCTGCTAATGTTTAGGTGTATTTTTTTCCTCTAAGAATGGTGGCTAATTGTTAACTATTCTTTGTCAGACATTATCAAGTCACTTCTATACAAGTAACTAGTTGCTAAAAAATATCTTTTACCCAAAATGTATTTAGTTGTGAATGCTAATCATAAAGACTTAAGGTAGAACAACACTGCCTATCAGGAAGTATGGACAGACTGGATTACAGACACATTTTTCTATGTGTTAGTCATGGGACAGTTGGAGTGTTCACTCGTGTATTGCTGTAAAATCACAACGTGTCAGGCCCTGGTTTACGGTGGCATTAATACTCATTAACGGAGCTGCTGGTCACTCCCTGGGTTTGTCTCTAGTCTCTGACTACTTCCCTTGTGCTTCATGTAGGAATAGATGACCTAGCTCACGTTTACTAAACTATAGCTACTTCATTAAAATTTTTGATATCTCCTCTAACATATGTATTTATGTTTAGAGTTTATTTGGTAAAGTTTTCCCTTACAAACTTTAAGTAGTATACTAATAGGTACAAGTATTAGATTTTTACCGAACTCTGCTATTATTGATCTAAAAAATATATTAACGTATTGGCAAATGTAGTTAATAAGTGGTCATGTATGTTTAGTATGTTCTACCTGCTGGTATTAGTGATCATATAGTTAACTAATGAATGACTGCATTATCCCGTATTTGTTATCTTCCATTTCTAGGGATCATCCTCTGATTTTATCTGTAAATCACAAATTTTATTACATCTGTATTTAGCCATTCTCAGTTGAATTCTAGAATACAGTAGAATGTGAGAAAGTAATAGAACCAACTTGATTGAAGTATTTTGAATGAATATTGTTATTCTGTATGTCAGTCAATATTTGGCATTTCTTCTACCTTTGGGATAACGATGGCTTAACTTCAGGAAAGTGCCCATTTTCTCAGACTTCTTTTATTATTGTGCAATATTTAAAAACAAAATCTACATTTTTGTTTGCTTTTCAGATGTTGCATTACTGCCTGCTAGGGCTAATTTGAAATAGAAATAACAATGGTATTTAAAATTCTTAAGTTGTTGCAATTTAACAGTCTTTTCCATTATATTTTTCTACCATCAAAATGTCCTTTTTCTCTACAGATGACTAGTGAATAGCCAAAAAGTTGGGTGAAGACAGTAGGGGAAGTTTATTGAGATGGAGAGAGGCTAGCTGGCACACAAATTATCAGCATCTCAGCAACAGAGTTGACCGGATATGGTTTCTGTGACATCCGATAATCCCCCTGCTGTATGATCATTTTAGCCTCGTCTCCCTGGTGGCGTAATGGTTCAGAGCTGTAGCTGCTGTCCAAAAGATTGGCAGTTCATATCCACCAGGTGCTCCTTGGAAACTCTATGGGGCAGTTCTTCTCTGTCCTGTAGGGTCACTATGAGTCGGAATCGACTCGATGGCACAAGTTTGTTTTTTTCGTGATGGCGTTTTACTGGAGTAGTTGTTAATGCACATAAGCATTTAGTTTGAGGTATTTTGACTAAGGGATTTATATTGCTCTTTTTCTTCAGTTGGTCAGATGTCTTTGAGAAATTATTACGAATTTTAAATATCATAATTGTGTAGTGTATGTAAATGTGAAATTTTAAGAATAATGTGAAATGTGCAGCTATTTAATGCAAAGGAGAAATGAATAGTTTGCCCAAAGTTTGATTGAAAAAACTGGGACCTTTTCTAGGAGTCTCCTTTTGCAAAGAAAGGATAATAAGTGTTAAAGAAAATTTTGTTACCAGAGTAAAAATCAGTGGTTTGTATGTATATAAAAGGTGATTTTCATTTTATAATTCGGGATGTATGAGAGTTCTTGATATCTTGAAGGTCTCCATTCCTGTCGGTATTTTGAATACCTGTAACATGTAATGTAATGCTTACCACAGTTGTTTAACACTCTGATCTTTTTGGTATTGATAGCTTTATATTTAAACAAAGATAGGAACAAAACAGCAACAAAAAAATGTGTTTCGTTTGGTGGCTTTGCTTACCTGTTTGACTGAATACAGGGTTTATTTATTTGTAGGTTGTTATCTAAAGGAAAAGCTTGTCTGCATATTGCAAGCGCTGTATTCTTGCCTGTATGCATTGGGTGATAGTTTAACCTAATGGTGCCTGAAGTTAGAGTTTTACAGCCTCAACAACAAAAAAAAACCTGGTGCTACTCACTTTAGCGTTGAGTGACATTTTTAATTCCTGTACCAAAGAGTTAATTTTCTTTTTGATTGATTGAAATTTTCTTCTCACATTCTTGTGTTTATGAAATAGAAATTAATGCTACTAAGTACAGTTTGCTTAACAGATCTTAGTTTTTGCACACTTCTGCCTCAATTTAATTGGTTTTAAATGTCTCTTGTTTGAATATATATATTTTTTAAGTTAGGCAGATTAAATTTGATTATTTTAATATAGCTTGGCTACTTTAAAAGATAGTTTAATAGGCTAAAGTTAGAAAACTTCAGTTACAATTGAAGCGCTTTTCACGAGATCTTTTTTTGTTTTATTTCTACATAAGGATTCTACTTTTATTTCTATAAACAAACTATATAGCTTATGGAGCCCTTTTAATGAATGCTAAAACAAAAATGCTAAAATAAAAGGTTGAGAGTCCATTCTGATTACAAATCAAGAATTCTGCGTCTCTCTGTGTAATCCTTGGTGGCGTTCAAGGATTATATTGCCGTTTGTCTCTTTTGCAAATAAAGATAAAATTACTTTATGTATATATTTTATCTTTTTTTGCAATATATGTAAAAATGCATATATATTCCTTGTATTCCTTGTGTTAATATATACATATCAAGTATTCTGTGCTATATTAGCACATTCTTTCCCAAGAGGAAATGCAAATGTACTTTGGTTTAAGCAAAACTGCTAATAGAAAATTGAACTTTAACCAAAAAAAAGTGCATGTTGTTACTCACTTTACATGAAAAGTCAGAGTAAGATTATTTCAAAAATGACCTTTACTTAGTGGTTGATTTTACAAAAGTGAGGGGTGGGGACTCTTTAGATGTACTTGTAATTGTTCATATGTAATACTGCTATGTATACTTTCCTGGTTCTCTATTCTCCCCCACCCCCCAAACTCTCAAAACACTCATTTGGTGTCCTTAAACCTGCAGCTGAGGTGGTTGGTCATTCAGGCGAGAAGATAACCGTGTGTGTGTATGGAAAAAGTAGACAGTCACATTTGGGAATGTTTTGCATTATTTTCAGTCAGCTAAAATTAACCTCTTCTTGAATGTAGATACAGTATATGGTTTTGTAGTGAATTCTGAATGGAAAGAAAGAGTCAAGTCTGAAATTTACGTGAAATGTAACTTAAGATCATGGGAATGATATATAGAAATCCATATGTACATGTCATTTGTGGTAAAAGCAAAGTTTATTTGAAAGCAAAATGGGACAAAACAATATGTCATTCTCTCTGATCTGTCGACAGTGTTTTGTAGATCATGTTGCCGTATTGATTTGGGGTTATTTGGCTTGTTTACGTGTTATTTAAGTTAATGCAGCTGAAATGCAGTTATTCAAGTTTTTGGGTAGTAGAGAATTCACCACTGTCCCTTGTACCCTGAGATGAATATTAAAATAAAAAAATGGTACGTTAGCATAGATAGAATAAAGCAGCCTAGTGATACCATAGGACCGATTTTCACCACGTTCAGAGATACTCCAACAAGTGAGCTGCAGATCTAACCTGGGAGGAACAAGGACAGGCCATTGGGAGGATCTGCAGTATGAGCTTGCTGTATGTACTTGAATTAGTCTTTTTTTTTTTAATCTGGCTGGCAAGTTTTAATGATTGGGCAAAATCTGTGTCAACCCAAAATTGTGTCTAGCATTATATCCTTAAAATAAAAGACGTTCTTTTAATAGTGGTATGTTCTAAGGGCCATATGACGATCCTGTTTTTCATATGGCATTTTGCATTCAATGCATAATATGTTTAAATCTGAGTGCTGTTTTGCTCTCTTGTCTACTATTTTACCTGTCTGTTCCTATAAGAGTGTTTTAAGAAAGTCTTCACTAATATTTCTAGTGCTAATGGTAATAAGGGAAAACAGTAGTTGAGAGATAGAAATGTAGATTGAGAAAATGGGTAAAATGACAAGTGGGAACAATGTATCTGAGCTATACTTGTTTAAGTGGAAAGCCTACACTGGTTCTTAAAATGGAAAAAAAGATGTATCTACCTTGTGAACAATGTTTTTTTTTTTTTTTTTTTAATTTATTTGAATGATTTAGTTTTATTCGTGTAATATTTGTTTTCTTTGCATATTGTTTTAATTTAAATTGTGGAATTTTTACTTTTCTTAGAATGTATTATGTACTGTATTTTTAGAAATCTTATTTTTAAATAAATATTTTTTA